AGTAACAGAACAATTATGCCGAGGTTCATAGAAAGCCGTACGTGGAAGAAACTAATGTTTTCGTGAGGCCACAGAACTGGGCCACATGCTGCACTGCAACGTTTTCTGACCTGCTACTGATGAAAACTCTTTTGCTTAATGCGAAGATGCGAAGTTGAAAACTTTTGGTTTTCTCCCCGGGAGCATGGGTGATTCATGATTTGCTCTCTGATGCTTGACCTTGGTGCGTCAGAAAAAGGAAAAGTGTTCTGGTATTAGTAAATTCGCTCAATACACCTGCCACGCAGTCCTACTGAAGTGAATGATCAGTTTTCCCCAGTATCAGTAACAACGCTTCGAAACTTAATGAGTTCAATAACAGCGCAGAAAGCTGCATTTCTGAAAGCATTTCTATTATTCAGAGCTGTTCAGGATTGTCGAGTATTGGTTTCGAGCTTCTCCCATGCATATTTGGGGAACATTATTTCGTAGAACTTTCAAACTTAATGATCTAGGTGGATAAGGATGAAACAGTGTTTCCAGCCTGTTAATTAGGTTCATTCAGCCGTGGCTTTACATTAAGAGTGACAACCTACCATCAGTTAAAGAAACTGTCAATGAAGTAGTGGTGAGCGTTTCCTCTTCTTCTGCTAAAACAAAAATGGACTGACTTTTTTGATAACAGAAAAAAGGAGAAATGACACACAAGAACCCTGTGGATACCTGCGGATCCATTATTTGTATCCTTATCGAAAGCTATTTCGGGCATTTTCGGATAATCTGCAACCAGAAAGCATTAAAGTTGCGAATACCAACTTGAGAAACTGGGCTGTTGTTTCTTAACGAGCACAATCAGCGTACCATCCGCATCGCGAGCAGGCGCTGAAGCAGTTGGGTCTTCTCTCAGCTCCATTTTCTGCGCTGATTTGAAATAATCTGGAACTGCTAACATATGTATTATGTAACGAAGAAGTGACGATGCTGTTACTAGAAATCTATTATGTTTTTTGGAATTATTCAAGAGGACCCGTTAAACAACTGACCGTAGTTACAGTCTAGTGACAACGGTCTTAATAAGTCCTTCATTTTAAAAAAGGGAAATGTGCGATGTCCAAGTAGTAAATTGTAGCAGATGTGTAACAATCTGCCCTATAATTTTATGAATAGCATATCTGAGCGAAGTTGTACTGGTACTTCCTCTCCTACCCTTTCCTCAGTGGAACAAAATAGGAGATGAAGTACCAGTACAATGGGCCGCCTTGTTGAGAGAGTTTTGGGGGCTTTGCAGGATAGGTAACCGCGATTTCGAAAACCTTTAGTTTATTAATCCTTGTACAGAAGAACAAGGACCCAACCTCAAATGGTTATATATGGTCGGGAGGGAAAAGTCCTCCTCTATATACTATTTAAATTCTGTTAACATTCCTCCAAGTCTTTTGTAAAGGACTCGAGTGAATATTGAGTACTATCGCGTGCATTTTCGGGAGCTGAGGTTTTTCTTCCACCGCAAGGGTAAGAACGCTGCTCAAGCCACGAGAAAGATTTGTCACGTTCAAGTAGGCAATGCTCCAGGGGTCGTATAGTGCGTAACCAGTTTGCAAATTCGAACGGTGTGAATTCACCCACAAGTTTGGCAACGCTCACGGAGGCTATCATCAGATGAAGACGGCCAATTCAAAATATTAATCGAAACGAATAGACAAATCACTACTGGCGAAATGGAAGGAAGACTTAGTGTTTCGAAATCAGCCATCCATAACCATTTGCTGGAAATTGTCAATATCTTGCTGGCTCAGGAACCTGCTGGCCTGTTTAGGTACCTCACGACTGAACGCGAGCGCAATATGGTGGACGGCGCTCGTTGCTATATGTGCGACTCATTGCTCGAACAAAAAAGAAGCTGATCTAAAACGCATGAAAAGGAGGACGCAAAGTGGTCCGTGTTCAACTACGTGGAGCTTTGCCATTGAGCAGTCACAAACTATGCCAATTTCAAAACCCACGTGAGGAAGATTATGCTGTGTTGCGATCTGCAGATTGCTGGTAGCTCTCATTAGAGAAAACATACCTTCATCTCTCATATCGTCACTTAATTTCTCTATCTATCTGCATTGTATTACAGTAAGAATATCCTTCGATAGTTCTCTGTTAGCGTAGCCCCTCATGCAAAAACGACAGTTTTGAAGATTTCATTCTTTATCTCGAAGAGTTATGTCAAAATCGACCCCTCTCATTATCCTTGGCGATTTCAACTTTTTTGTTATATCATGGTCTCAGTCGTCTAGGGGGCTGGCAACGGGTGTCCTAGTAGGCAGAGTTCACTCTTTTATCGCTTCATTCAGGGTCACAATTTTAGCCAATCAGTCTCACACCCTACCCGTGGTCAATACTCTGGACTTAGTACTTACGAACAACACGTCTCTCATAACTAGCCCCTCGGTCCGCGCTCCTTTCTCTACTTCCGATCATTCTATGGTAACTTTCTCATTAGCAGGTAATACAGCTGAAGCCGCTCCGAAACTGAGAATAGACTTTGCTAGAGGCGACTATAAGACTATATGTCTTCACCTTCTTGCAGTAGATTGGCATCGTGTTTTTGACTCTGTTGAAAGCATTGATGGATGCTACTTCGTTTTCGCAAATTTTTGCCACTCACTTATTTCTAGATTTATTCCGGTCTTAGGGGTTACAAAAGGAACCTTCCACCTTCCTCGCTACTTGCAGGTGATGGAGGATCGAATTCGACAGTTAGTCAGAAATGGGAATCATTTACACAACCCACGTTACCTTTATCTCTCACGCCTGTTTAAAAAGAAACTAGCGAAACTCAATCTCAAATATGACGAATACATAGCTTCTTCTAAAAATATTAAAAGGTTCTGGAGTTACTGTAACGCTAGACTGAGGCAATATTCTTCTATTGGAACTATCACAGACTTTTCTGGATCGGTATGTTCTTTTCACCACGAAAAAGCTGATGTTTTTCCCGAATATTTCCAAACGTTTTACAAGAAGCTCGCTACTCCTTCTCCGTGCGGTGTGACTAAACCTCAAAAAACACTAGACTGGGTGGATCTTCACTATGAAAATGTTTTTGAAGAAGCTTCCTCTTCGGTGTTCCACGTCCCCCTGATGGTCTACCTTACATTTTTCTCAATAAAGCTGCAGAAGGTATTGCACCCGCACTCACGCATCTTTTCAACAGAATTCTTCTGAAAGGAACAGTACCCGCGATCTGACAATTGGGCTTGGTGAGGCCAATGCATAAGAGAGGGAGTAAAAGTGATTTTAGAAATTATAGGCCTGTGTGTCTCACCTCCTCAGTCAGTGAGATAATGGAAAGAATGGTGTGTGAAAAGATAAGAGATTTTCTCATATCTAACCAGCTTCTATCTCGTTGTCAGCACGGATTCCTCCCAAGGAAGTCTACCGCCTCTGCGCTTCTTTCCACTATTCCTTCATGGCAGAACGCCTTGGACAAAAAGATATCTGTCTTCGCCGCATACATTGATTTTTCCAAAGCGTTTGGTTCTATCCCTTTACATCTCTTGATGTTTAAGCTGAAGCAGATTGGAATAACGGGGTCCCTCCTTAAGTTTCTTGAATCGTTCCTTTTTGATAGGCGACAAAGGGTCGTCGTCAATGGCTCATGTTCTTACGTGTACCGTACAGACAGCGGTGTTCCCCAAGGCTCGTGCCTGGATCCCTTGATGTTTGTTGTATACATTAACGATTTGCTTGATGCTTTTCCTCCTGGTATACACTGCTCGATGTATGCTGATGATGTTAAGGTTAACTCCATGGATCAGCCCCTATTGCTACGAGTTGCCCTTGATGCCAATCATTGATGTTTATAAAGTGGTGAATTTAGCCCAATGCAGGCGAACTTTATCTTGCGTGCTTTCGCTACAAGAAATACCAAAACTCTGTTTAAGCTTTTTTCTACTTACGTACGCCCTATATTGGAGTACTGCCTATGGTATGGAGTCCCTCCATGGTAACGTAACACGCGTAACATGGTAGATGTTATTGAGGGTGTTGAGGCCAAATTCACCGAGCGTATTTTTGCCCGTAAAGGTATTTTCCACGTCCCTTATAAAGAAAGATCGGGCTATCTAAACGAAAATTCCTTAGAAATGAGTAGAAAAATGTATGATTACGATTTTGTTTACAAGCTTTCCACTGGGCTAGTAGATTTAGATTTCGATTCTTTCTTCCGGAAATCAGAAACTATCGGGTGTACTAGAGGTCATAGCTATAAACTAATGGGGCAAAAACTTTCACCGCGGAATATCGAAATTCTTTCACTCAAGGAATAATTAGTTTATGGAATGAGTTACCGCCCTCGGTGGTTTACTCTAGCTCCCCCAGCTCATTTAGGAAAAAAGTGAAGGATATTTTGGTGTCTCAAGGTTGGTTTTAGGAGTAAGAAACTGAACTCTCAATAACTTATTAGGCAGAGAAGCGATCAACTTTGCTGTTATGTTAATAACTTTGTCTGACTTAGGAAACTGCTACTTTATGTTAACTTTTTTCTATGGATACTGATTTTCCGTTTTGTGCATAACACTACCCCCTTGACTTCTGCGATGCTGGTTTTGGTTTCGGCAGGTTGGCGGACCTACTAAGATGGTAACCGGAGTTCTACATATGACGTCCTGTACGAGCTTGCAGTGTTGGCGGCCACTGCCCTTCTGAGCCGAATTCTAATCCCTTTTCACGCAGCACCCTCTGTTGGTCCCCATTAGTTTAAAGTTACTACTTATCGGAGACTTGTTTGTGCTTCTTTTTGCCTTTCTGTTATTTTCTTTGATTTCCGATAATAAATCATAATCATAATAATTATGAGATGTTGCCGCATTATCGAACGACAAGTCGGGAAGGTGCTGTACTGAGCTAACAGTTTGAAGACTGCTATAAACTAGAAATGCCCAGAACTGGTCAATCGTAAGGGCGTTGTCTTTCAACAGGATAACTCCATACCACATGTTCATATTTTTGACCACTCGTCAAAAGTTGCTAAAAGCCTGGGTGGAATGCCGTACCACACCCCTTATATAACTCATACATAATATCAAGAGGCTACCACTTGCTCAGTTTTCTGCAAAAATTCGTAGATACAAAATCGATCAAACCGCTGAAAGACTGCAAAAAGCACCTGAAAGGGTTTTTCGATTCTGAGTCCAAAACCTTCTATAAAAGTGGGGTAATGAAACCTACAGGACCATGGTGAACCATTGCTGAACAGAATGGAGGGTATATTGTTTGATGAATAGTTTTCTTCTCATAGAAGTAATCTCTCAAAAGAGACTCGAAAAACGGCGAAAATTTTCTGGACTACCCAATTCACTTTTTCCTGTACCGTCTAATAGATTGCCGCTTGAGGACAATTGGATCTTCCTTTTTTCACATGCGACATTTTCTTCGGAACGAACAGACATTGATGCCCAATATTTTCATAGCTCCTCTCCATTACTGCTGCTCCGCCTTTGGCTGTTGCTCAGTGGTTCTCCTCTAGCGAAACATCATGGCCGGATTCATGGGCAACAAAACCATCGAAGTCCCTCTATTTCTTATCCCTTTCGAGGGCGATCTCTCTTGACCTATATAATGCATACCTGTGCAGCTTCACTAGTAACAGAGCAATACACTTTGAAACCAAAATTTGCGTCTGGCATGGCATCTCTCCTGCAGGTGGCCATTGCCTCTTCTTTGTAATCAAGCGAGGGTATCCAACACTCTTTCCAGCTTCAATCTCCTTTGGGAGTATTTCCAAGAGAGAGCGACGGGACAAAGACTCACAGGAACCCCCAAGTTAGACTTTGCCTGTTACCTGAGACTGTGCAGAGTCTTCTTGCGCGGTGATGGTTGATCGGGGTATGTTTACTGTCGTATGGAATATCCCAAGTGATG